AATTTTCATCGACGTTAAGCCTAACAAAAATTTTTTAAAATAATAATCGTCGCTATTGTATCGTTAAAACTTAGAAAATTAAGCCTCGTTTAAATACTGGCTCCCTTTCATGGTCGAATGAGTGTTGCCAGCTAAAACACATAAAAATAATATTAAAGTAGCCAAGACATAACCAAATATTGTAGCGCCCGTCACTAGCGGACATTTGAAATTTGCCGATTAGGACGGTCGGTTAATCGGGGGTCGGATAATCGAGGCTCCACTGTATTTATTTTAAAATTAAATGACCTGGAATTTTTAGTGTGATCCTTTTTTGAAGAATTATATCGATGTGCGAAACTATCACTGTATCAGTTCAATGTATAAGTGATAAGAAAATACAACTAAATAAATATGCATGTTTTAAGATAATTAGAACGTATCAATAAATAAGTTCATACATAATCGATAAATACCTATTTAGTTACTAATTAATGCTTTAGTCACAGCATTGTTTAAAAATTGAGTTACGATTAATGTGGAAATGAATATAAGATTGTAATGATTAAAGAATTTATTTGTACAGGTATTTTTTTTTCTTTTTGTAACATAAACTATGTACAGGTAAAATAGTAAAAGACAAAGAATGGCCTGATCATTTATTTTGATCAAATTTCTACAAGCTATTGTTTATCACTTTTAATAAATGTTTGGTGATATTATGATTACTTGTTATGAAACTTTAATAATCAGAAATTTTTCTTAATTTAACTTAATTTCAATAACGCCTATCGCTATTGACCAAACCTTAGAATTACTATATTTCTTTACAACCTTTTGAATGTTTTAATTCATATACATTATACAAAATAAAGAAATTGCAGATCAAATTTGTTGTTGTTATCTAAATATATAAAATTGCTTGTCCTGACTGACTCACTCATTCACACAGATTCATCATCGCCCAGAGCAAACCGTTTAACCTAAAGAGATGAAATTTGGTAGACAGAGTACGTCATGGAAACGCACACTAAGAAGGGATTTTTCGAAATTTCTTCGATGAAGGAAGAGGATTAAAGCTTAACCGAAAAAACGGCTTCTACTGTACTATTTTAGATGCGATTTTTTGTTTTTATCTACGTTTTAGTAGGGTATGCCATGGCAATGCACAATAAGAAAGGATTTTTCGAAATTCCCCCTCGGGGGAGAGGGAGAGGATTTAGTCTTCATCGAGTACTTAGGTGTATTAAATTAATAACATTTCAGACATTGTTATAAATATTTTTATCTATTTCGATTTTTAAAATGTTCGAACCGTTTTAAATTCGAATTTGTTATTGCATATTGGTTCGACTATAGAACGATTGTAAACGTTCCAGAAAATTGATCAAATTGAAAATAGTTCGTTTGATTCTCGGCAATTCTCATCATTCTCAGCGGTAGGTGTTATATAACAATTACTATGGTTGTTGAAATACTGAATATAAATGGGGTTTGTTTGCAAAATCCGCGAGGGCAAAGCCGCTGGTAACAGCTAGTTTTAAAATAGAAAACAATGAAGATAAATAATAAAACTGAAAATCAATAAAAATAATTTTTTTTGATAATTTAGAATCTTCATAATTTTTTCCTCTTAATATGCATAACTAAAAATGATTAAAAACTTTTGAATATATTAACTTTTGAAAAGTCATACTTTATAGTTCACGGTATGTTGCAGAAAATTGCATCTTTCCAGTGATAAAAATGCTTGCTAAACGTTTATACTGGGTTATTTCCGTAGCTCATCATTAAAATAGATCGGGACTTATCCAACTTTTTCTTTAAATTAACTAACGTGTTTTTTTTCTTTCTATGTTAATTGATTTCGGAAAAATTTATAATTAATAATAATAAAATTAGATAAGTTATATAATATTTTGATGGTAATTTCGGCTCGATATCGTTCGAAGACCACCGCTTTGATAATATCTTAAGATTTATTAATATTTAAAAGCGTATTTGAAAATTTAACGCGAATTACATAAATCCAGTCGTTATCTCAGTTAAACTTTCGCTTTAGGTTTCGTGTATTATATCTTATAAATGACCATAAAAGATTTGAACATCATTTGGCACCTTAGAGACTTTAATTAAAAGAGAATAAATACTCATTTTGCAAAGAATTTCTGAACTGAGTCATAGCAATTTGTAGGAAAACTACTATTTTTTATTATCCCTAGTTTGGTTTTTTTTATCATACTTCATATAAAGGTAATGATAATTCATTTGAATTTCCTATTTTAGATTTTTTTTAATCTTTCATTTATATTGATTTTCACCGGATTAGTATATTTGATCTTTTGATACAGCTTTAATGCCATATTTAACTTAATACCTATTATAAACGACTGTAATGTTTTTTTTTTTTTAAATCTTTCCACTTAGTTATTTTTATATTAATTATAGAAAGTAGTTCTCATCCAAAACAGTTTTCTTTTTTGGTTCCTTGCCATTGATATGTTGTATATAATCTTATGCAATACAAATATCTGTTGATATTAATTGAAGGTACAGTAGAGCCTCGATTATCCGACCCCTGATTAACCGCCCGTCCTAGTCGACAAATTTCAAATGTCCGCTAGTGACGGGCGCTACAATATTTGGTTATGTCTCGGCTACTTTAATATTATTTTTACGTGTTTTAGCTGGCAACACTGGCTCGACCATGAAAGGGAGCCAGTATTTAAACGAGGCTTAATTTTCTAAGTTTTAACGATACAATAGCGACGATTATTATTTTAAAAAATTTTTGTTAGGCTTAACATCGATGAAAATTCAACGCGAAGTAGGTTAATAGCGATATACTAATATACTAATTACATGAGATATAATAATATACTACACTAATAATGGATTTTTTCGTACTTTTCGGTTATCCGACCAAACTGAGTCCCCAATTGAGTCCGATAATCGAGGCTCTACTGTATTATTATTTAGATATTTTACTACTGAATATAATAAGAAATTATTCCGTAAATACATTAAAGCTGTACTCCAAGGTCTTAATGTATAATATTGAAACTTGAGAGAAAGAGTTTTCTGTATAATTCTTTTCAGTTTAATTGAAAATTTAGGCAAGTCTTAGACTCTCATAATATATAGACTTACTAAAATTTTTCGATAAAATCGTTTATTTTTCAAATATTATATGAAATATTTTTATAATTTATAAATCATAAAAAGTTACTTAAAACGTAAATGTAATTTTAAGTAACAGCTTTGAGAAATTTTTAAATAAAATCATAAAAAAAACAATTTTTGATTTTATTTTTTATATTCGAATATAACTTTCTTGTTTTCGTCTTATCCCGATATCTTTACACATTTGTTAATATTTTGTTATAAAAATATTCTGATTCATAGATGAGTGGACTTTAATCACACGGTTTATTTTCTGGAAAATAGATTAATTTAAACAATGATTTATTTACTGTTATAAATAGATAATAATTATCAAATGGGGAGTGCTATTTGAGCTCGTGTGACATCACTCGATTACTATGCATTAAACCTACGCGATATGTTATTCGATAAGAGAAATTTAAACGGAACTTAATAAAATATATTTTTATTTTGACAAATAACTATAATTGAATTTTTTTTTTAAATTAGATATGTGTAGTATTCATAAATATATATATTTTCGCCTCTTAAATTTCGTAAGTAGGACAAAACTGACGTGTTTCGGTGATGAAACATCAAACCTAGCCGATATAGGCCACGGTTTTGTTTTTTATTTAAAATATTTTTGTAATATAAACTTAATAAAATATATTTCTAAAGTAATGTAAAAGTAAAGCAAGGCAGTGTTTATTTAGAATCGCTTGTAAACATAATAATTGAGAAGTTAACTGGAAAAGTTTGAAGGACGGTGAGTAACAGCCATCAAAAGGACAAGCTGAAATATTACATATATTATTTTGATTAAAAATAATAGGACGAAGTTTAATTTATATACTGTATTACATTCTACTTTTCGAACGTTGTTTACATTAAACTTTTATCGTTTAATTATCAAATGTAACATTTCGTCATTTTATTTATTTACTTTTATTATAGAAGAATCTCACCGATGTAGTTTAAAATATTAACATTTTCTCATTCTTGCGAAAGAAATATTTTTGTATTTTAGAGTAAGAAAAAATTTTCGTAACATTCATCTATGTTAAGTATCGAATAACTAGTTGCTATAAACAGGATTTACTTGAAAAGGCATAGTTTCTAATTTTTTTTTTTTTTTTTTGGTAAACATTTTTTCACCTTTTCCTTGATATTAATTAAACTATTTTTTTGTATCAATAGTGAATTAATTTAATGTTTTAATAGCTTCGTAACTCAAACTTAAATACAAAAAACCTAACATGTAAAAGTTAGTTTAGAAAAAAAATATTTCACTGACTATCAAACATGCAGATATTTTCGTTTATAGTTTTGGACGCAGTCGTCTCTAATTTTTTAATGATTAACAACACTGTTCCAACTACACCCTGCTTATATTAGATCGAATGTTTAATTCCGTGTTTATGTGGGGAGCGACCTTGAGCATCAGCTGAATATGACGTTGTTAGTGGCGTCACCGCGGCGTCTTTTGTTCGGTTTTTTATAGCAATGTAGGTGTATGTATATTGTTTACTTTTAATTGTTCGGTGTTGTTTTTAAAAAATTCCTCGTCTTAAAAATTGCATTTCGTTATTTGGAATTACCTTAATGTACAGCATTCAACACTTTAAATTGTTTTCAAAATATTCCATAAATAAATTCATTTTGCAAATAAATAATTTTCAAACATTTTATATATTATGCTTTTATATATATAAAAGCAACATACTGAAGTTACTTAAAAGTAATAGAATTAAAAAGTGAAAATTTTAAAATTTTATTTACAATTTTAAATATGAGTTTTAACTTTTATATGATTAAATTTTGATTTATCGATAAATAAAATATATTCGTAAAAAATTTTAAATTTAATTTTGCAGATGAATAAACCAAGGATGAATTCTTTGGATTTACCAAGATATTATGAAATGGATTGTTTTGATGATCCATGGTTAATAAAAAATATGAACACTATGGACCCATTTATTGATTCAAACGTAGAAAATAACGTGTTTTGTAATTGTAACGAATATTTAAAATATTCTAAAATGTCAGATGATATAAATGTACCCCAGCTACCTCTCTTTCTTATGAATGAGAAAGAATTTTGGGAATCTTCAAATGTTTTAGATACAGATATAAACTTTTATGATTCTCATTTTAGAGATAAAAGATATGCAAATTTATCAAGAATAGAGGAAGAATATTTATGGGGTACTCCAATGGACATGGATTCTTTAAAATTAGGAGAAATATTTCAGGTAGAAGAATCAGAAGCTAACCAAGGCCCAACTTTGGCACAGTTAAATAGTAATGGTGAACCTCTTTTTGAAGCTTTAAGTTTTAATGACTGTTCTGAAGAAACAAAACTTTCCACAAATGATAATTTCATTAATAAATCAAGGACAGATTCAATTAATGATCTAGTCACAAATACCTCTGAAGCAAAAGTTTCCGTTGCTAATCCTAATGACATTTTTATGGAAACGGTACATGTCAAGACTGAAAATAAAGATGTTTGTCTCCCTAACCTCTGTTCAAACTATTCGTTATCTTCTACTTCTAATTCTGATGCCAACCAAACAAATACTTCAGCTTGTATACAGCCAGTTAATACTTCATCCTTAAGTATTTCAAATACAACCAAACTACAACAATTATTAGATGGTAACTTAAGTCCTAAGAAAGAGCCCAGTGGATTATTGTCTCTTAATGTTTCAACTTCTGAAAGTTTCACGAGTACTCTAACGATGGCGTGTCATGCACAAAATGAAATGACTGTACGCCAGAGAAATAACTCAAGCACCGATCGTTCATTGTGTAGTTTTTCTTCGTTATCAAATGATGAAGGATTTGATAGTTCCAGAGATGAATTTTGTCTGGATGATGATGGATCATCCGATATTGGTAAGTAAATATTTTACTTTTAAAATTTAAAAATTTTTATTTTGTTTGTATAAATATAAAAATTATAATCATTTTAATAGAAATTTTTGTTTTGTTAAATTACTTTTGGAAAACATTTCTCTAAAGCTGTGTGAAAATTTTTACTAAAATCTTTAAAAATCTGTTTATAATAGAATTATAAAGTAATTCCAAATAAAATATTTAACAATTTCTTAAGCAAATACAGTCTCTATAGTTATGTTGTATGTATATGACAGAGAGAGACTGATATACCTGTGTATGTCAGTTGCTAGTTGTTTATTGCATATGCAGCCAGCAATACAGTCATGATCATGATTAATGCAATAAAATAACCTGTAAACCAAGTGCATTTTTTTTTATGTACATAAATACAAAATCCAGTAATATGGTAATCTGACACCTGCCAGTCCAATATAGATCAGATTACAAACTCTCCTGTAGTTAGTAAATTCTATACATAGTACATTATTATATAATAATAAATATTTTTGGATTCTAAATTAATATAGGAGTAATGTTTCCTTGATGGAATCATAATATTTGAATATATGGTTAAAAAAAGCACAATTTTAACTTAAAAAAGTTTACATAAAAATATACTAGATGTAATTAATTAGACATCTAATTATAAATATAGTACATAGAGAGACTGACTTAAAATTTGATTTGATTTGGTCATTCCATGAAGTGGATGATTTTAATGTGTTTCCCATTATATTTGGGAAAATATAAAAATATATAAATTATAAAAATAAATCTGTTTTGTGTGTAAAGTAGCATCTTTGTTTTTTGTACAAATTTATGTAAATATATAAAGTTCAAAATAAATTTACACAAAATACTCGTAAAGGTTATCTTTTAACTTTTAATACAGTAGAACCTCGAAAACTCGGCTCTCGATAACCCGGCACTCCGGATAACTCGGCCACACCCTGGCAGGGCAAAAAAATCCTTAGTTAATTAATTTATATTATAGACAGCTTTATAAAAGTATAAAAGCTCTCATAAAGTATTTTTCTGAGGTCTGTCTTATCAGATAAATTACTGTACCCAGTGTATTCATTAATTTTCATTTTCATGTAGTAAAGGATCTATGCCTTCATAAAGTACGTACTTTCCCTTTGTTTAAGGGTATTTGGGCAGTTTATTCTCTGTTATATACTCAAGTAAACAATACATACAAGTACAGTACAGTATTTTCTGAGGAAACACTCGTACTTATTTTTTTTAACCCCATTCCCGATAACCCGGCATTTTCACAAACTCGGCCACCCTTCGGTCCACATTAGGCCGAGTTTTCGAGGTTCTACTGTAGTCAAAATCATAGCCACTTTAATATTTGGTCACAATACAATGTTAAAAGTGTTATGTCTCCTTGTAACACAATGAATGGGTCTTAATATTTAGTTGGGTACCCTAAATTTTTTATTGCTGCTCTCAAACTGTTTTGCATATTTGCAATAATTTTCTTGGTAGGCTCAGTATGGGCCCATTCATCCATCAGCCTCCTCTTCAATTCTTCCTCTGAGATATTTGATGTTCTCTAAACTCTAGAACCGAGTTCATTCCACAAATTCTCAATGGGACTGAGGTCAAGAAATTGGGGGTGTTTTGATAACTTTGTGGCAATTATATAAAGCCATTGATGTGCTATGTATTCTCTATGTTTGGGATCATTATCTTGGTAAAATTTGAATGTCTGTCTCAGGGCTTGCAGAGTTGGTAAAAAACACTAGACTCCTACGCCGGAAAAATTAAATACCAAGTTATTTTATGGTGGCAGAGGCACTCATATAGGGGATGCCCTACTCTGAATTCTGAAAGGAGCCTGGGGAGTTTACCCAAATACTTTTATAGTTAGTATTTTTAATATTTAACTTACATTAATATTTATTTGTATAAAAAAATTAATTTTTAACAAATATTTAATACAAGGAGAAAGGGGGCAATAAAATTCTACATCTACGTATGTAAACAGCATTTAACTTCAATTTCACCCTTCCAGAAGAGTTAGTCCAACTAAAAAGTGTGCAAAATCTCTAGCTAGCTACTTCAGCCCCTTGTTCAGCAAATAAAAATATGTACTGTGATCAATTAGTATGGCTCATTCAGAAAAATAGAGTACTTATTTAGAGCAGGACAATAAAGGAATGATTCAAAAATATTCAAATTTAATTGGGTCAAAATAATTTAACTACTAAACACAAATAGTACAAAGAATACTACATATTTAATAAATTTTGTATTTAAAATAAATGAATTATAACAAAATACAAAAAGATTTTAAAAAATGTAAAAAATTAATAAATAACATAATAAATTTTCTTTCATTTAAATAAAAAACTAAAGTAAATTTAAAATGTGGGAGTCGGAGTTGACACATTTTTTCCGACTCCTCTGACCAGAAATTCCTCCTGACTCTGACTCCACAGCCCTGGTCTGTCTTACAGAAGGTCAATCCGTGTTTATGTGTCCAAGTTTTAACTGTCACCTCTGCTCACAGAATGGACTGAACTGAATAGTTAAAAACACAGGAGAAAGCCCAAAGCCTGTAGTATTGGGATATTATTGAGTGTGTGTTGTGTGCATCATGGCTTTGAAGGTGAACCAATTCTGGAAGCTGTGGGAAGCATTTTTCCATGCAAAATATTCAGTGTCTCAAATTCAAAAACAGTGCAAAGAACATGGATGCAAGTTTGGTTTGACGACTATCAAGAACATAATTAATTGGCATAAAAACCAAGAGGTGCCAGTGATTCAATCACCCTTGAAGGGGACTAGGAAGTGAGCGTACACTACAATGATGCCACATGTGTCTCAAAGGTTGTGTCGAATGGTCCTCCAGGAAAACCCCCTATGCAACATGTGATGGCCACATGACTGCATGTGTCACACTCAACTGTAAACTGCACTTTGCATGAGAAGTTAAACCTCTGGAAGGTCTTCAAAAGTCGTGGACATTATCTAAATGAAGCTAATCAGTGTGAGAGAAAGACCAACAGCAGATGCCTCTATGAACGCCATTTATCCAGGGAAAAGTGGAAGTGTGTGGTCATGCTGGATGAGGCATGGGTATACCTATCAGATTGTGGCAAAATATGAGCCCTGACATACACCTCATGTGATGCAAAATCTTGTCTCCAGTTCATCCATCATTGCAAAGCAACTTTCTCAAAGGGATTTCTGGTTGTCGCAGGATACTGCTATCAAGGCAATTTAACTCAGGTCCCTAAAAACTGTAAAATCAACTCTGCCTTCTTTCAGCAACATATCCTCACTCCAATTTATACAGATGCTCTACCTTGTTTGTATGGAAATGCCATCAATCAATTTATATGGATAAGGCTTCATCACATATGTCTTGTTCTACCCATAACTTTCTACAACAGATGGTGCAAGACACTGGCATTCAGGCTATTTCATTTCACGATATACTGGTGAAATCACCAGATGCAAGTCCTATGGATTTCTACAGGTTTGGACTACTGAAAAAGGGCATTTTCCTCTCTTGTCACCACTCTTCAAGGCCTGTGGAAAGCCTGTCAGGAGAACGGAAGTTACGGTGCAGGGCTATTGCCAAGACACATGGTGTTCACATTGAGGCCAACCAATGGTGGTCCCATGGATTTTCATAGAGTAGGTGCTAATTGAAACTTGGACACATATATGTGGATCAACCTTCTGTTTTCCCATTTTTTCTGCACTTTTGTGCAAGCATTCTTTGAGAATTGTTAGGTATTATAATGTTCTTTTGTCATAGTTTCCTTAATAAATTTCAATTTGTCCATACCAGTTACAGATATGCATTCACATCATTATGTTGCCGCCTCCATGTTTTACAGTTTTTCATTTGTCTTGAATGACACTAGAACTGTACTATCAGATTGAAAAATGTTGAATTTATTTTATATGCGAAGATGGCATCTGCCATCACTCCCAAGTCCTCATTCATGTGGGTGTTTCTGAAGTCCATTCTTTTTCTTTCTGTTCACTTTACTAATACAGAATTTTTCCTTGCTACTCTTCCATTATATCCCTCACTTTGCAGGACCATCCAAACTGTCTCTAGATGCACTTGCTTTCCACATTCTTGAAACAACTCCACTGTAATTTTAGGTGTGCTCAATCACGGGTTTTTCTCCACCTTTCTCACTTTCAGACATCTTCCTCAGTCACTCAGTTTGTGGTTAACCTTTCTGTGGCACATCTTTTCTATGTTCTTTTTTATAACATCATATTATATTGCCAACTGTACTGCATAATATATTTAAGACATGAGTAATTTCCCTATATGAAGATCATTTTTCGTTATGTATGATTACAAGCTGATGCTGCTCAAATATTGTATTGCAACTTTTCACCCCCATTTGAAGTGTTGTAAATATGAATTCTCCAATGGCTGCATGAGAAATAATGTCACAATGACTTTGATTTATGTGTCAGTATGGAAAAAGAGAATTTATGACTAATATTCAACCACTACAGAGACATGTTAAAGTGATGTGATTTTTAGCCATTGTCAAGAAGAATAGGTCAATCTACTGGTACTTTAAGCTCAAGATTTTTATAATGATGAAATAGTATGATGAAATGTTATCTGCTTCTTGTAATTTGTTGTTTTTGTCACATCTTTGAAGTATCTTTACAATTGTTATATAATGTAATGCACTGGAATGGCCAAATATAAGTATACCTCGACTTACGTTGTTTCGAGTTACATCGTTTCCGATTATACGTCGTTTGTCAAAAAGTATATGGAAAAATAAAAATCAAGTTTAAGTCATTTTATTTGACTTTACGTCCGTCCGCCACAAATATTGAAGTCGTAATATCACTAGATAAACGTTTAAAGCACATAAAATCATATTAAAATATATACATTTACAAGTATGTACTGTATTTACAGTACATGTACTTGTAAATTTAGATTACTTTTTTCCTGTACTATAATAAAAACTAAAATTTTTTTGTTTGAAAGC